CTATCTATTCAACCATTTCCATTAGCTTACTTCACATGCTATTATTTATAAGATCTATATTTGCACATTCATGATGAATGCAAGAATTATCTGATAGCAGCACTTCAATGGGTCTTTTTAGGCACAGGATATCTTTGCTACTGTTTATCAGCCATAAATGACATAGTCAAAAACTGGTTTTTCTTGCTCGTTTTTTTTGAAACTTAAAGTATTTAAAACCTTAGCTTTTCCATATGTTCAAATCAGACAAAAATGTGACCCCCCTCTAAAAGTACTATGCCAGCTGCGAACCTAATTCCACTGATCTACAATAAATCAAAATAGAAGTGAGCGGGAAAAAGCGGATCCAATACGACCATTTTCTAGAATTTCATGGCTTCATATTTGGATATATTTACTCTCAGTAGGATTGTTTGGTAAGTTGATCAAAAAAATCATTTTCGTTCCATATTGGAGAGTGTCAGTGTGGGTTATAATTTTGAATCTGCATATGGTCGACTAAGGTCACCTATGATACTAAACACAAAAAGAGCTTAAAGCCTATCTAGTTGAGTAAAGTCGTTTTGACATAATCAGAACTGTATTTGTCCGAGTTGGCAGTCTATTAAAATAATCTTTAAATCAACTAAGACTAAATTGTTTGCAAACATCTCGCATATTGTATTGTTGGAAAAAGATTCCTCTCCCCAATTTTGTGCTCAATAGCAAAACTGTTTTTTATTGATAATTGTTTTTTAAGGTTGATAAACGGATATTATCCTTGGATGTTCAGCAAACATATGTCTAACGGGAAAAACGTCTAATAACTACGCGTATCTCCGCACAATGATCAACACCGTGTGACCAATACATTAAACTTGATATTATTCAAATATTAATAGCTATCTTAAGCTATTGCTGGTTTCAATGGAATGAATCATGCTTCAGAAGTAACGTTATAATATATAAGCATATAGCCCATGATTCAAAACTCCGAACTCCCATTTTGTTTCCGTTAAAACTGCTCTTCCTAAATCAGTAGCTTAATTAGCTTAATGGTGAAAAACTTACGACAACAATAAGTTTTATCATCACCATCGTCTATGCGGGAACAATACGTGTCCGGATAACTTTTGTGTTCGCAAAGCTGGTTGTTCCCGCCGCACGTCCTTTAAATGCAAATGTCAGCAAATTTTTTTAAAAAGGTAGTCTATCAGCTGATAGTACCGAAATTCAAGATGTTTGCTGTGTTCATCTATGTTGAACTGCGGCAACATGAGAGATCCTTTGCAAGTACGTATGGCTGAAACTCAATTATAGGTTAGTTTGGAATAATGTAATGTTCAGGTTAGTTATCTCATATTCCCATATATGTAACAGAAGGCTTAAAGCATTTGACACGTTGAAATATTTCAAAGATTGAATAAAATTCCCCTTTTTCTCGTGTCTTATGT